AATCATACGTAATTAAGCCAAAGAAGAATAACATAGGTGTATTAACCCAATGCAGTGAGGACTATCGCAGAGTTATAGACCACTTTACTAAGCTGGAATTGGAGTTCCACTGCTACCAGCTTAAGGAGGACAAACCATATAGAGTCGTGTTCAAAGGGCTTCACTCCAGCACTGATACAACACTAATTAAAAAGGAATTGGAAACCAAAGGCCACACAATTACAAATGTGCACAACCCACTGAGCCGTATGGACAAAACACCGCTAAATATATTTTTTGTTGACGTGGCTCAGGCCCCCAACAACAAAGAAATTTTGGACATTCGAGTTGTCTGCAGGCAACGCTGCACAGTGGAACTGCCAAGAAGATACAACGACCTGACACAATGCCATCGCTGTCAAGAATTTGGACACACACAACGCTACTGCCACAAAGCTCCCAGATGTGTGCGTTGCGCCGGGAAACACGCATCCAAAGACTGCACCCGCGAAAAGGACCAGGCACCAACTTGTGTGCACTGTGAGTTACAGCACCCAGCCAACTATAAGGGCTGCCAAGTATACAAGCGGTTGCGCAAATTGCAATCCCCAGCACAAAAAAGGAGTCCCACACAAACACCGTCTACGGGTCCGAGTACTGCTTCCGAAATTACAAGGCCCCGGAGCATTACCCAAGCCACGAGCTTTGCAACGCCTATTAGTGGTGTTTCTTACGCACAGGCCGCTAGAGGTGGACCGTCAAATAAGAATACCACAAGTGACACTTTGTTCACTGAAATGCTTCAGCAACAACAACGTCAGTTTGACGCAATTAATGCCGAGCTCAAAGCGATGCGAGAAGTACAATCCCAACAAGCAACCATGCTAAACAGTTTAATGGCCATCATAACCAAGCTTGCCTACAAATAATGGCTTTACGTGTGGGTATCTGGAACGCCAATGGCCTGAGAAACAAGACTCAGGAACTGGCTGCGTTTCTCTCACAAGAAAACATAGATATAATGTTAATAACAGAAACTCATGAGTGCCCCACTACACAAATTTTCGGATACGAACACTATCAGGCTCATGGTGAAGGAGCAAACTGCTTTGGTGGATCCTCAATCCTCATACGAGCAACAATACCGCATACACCTTTACTGCCAATTTGCAACGCAACAATGCAGGTCTCAGCCATCACCCTGCCTACGTCTATTGGAGCGATCGAAGTTGCGTCAATTTATCTTCCGCCAAACACTGGTCTGTGTGATCATCACATGGAACAGGTTCTAGGCCAAAGGTTGAATAAGACCCTCATCGGCGGCGACTGGAATGGATGGCACCCATTTTGGGGAAGCAATAGTGCGAATCGTCGCGGAGAAGTCATATTTGAGGCGATTCAAAACTTACAATTCAGCATATTGGCGACTGGAGCCCCCACCCGTTACCCAATTAATGGACACAGGCCCTCGGCAATCGACTTCGCTGTCTACAAAGGCATCTGTGACCGGCAATTGACCATTGAAGAATCCTTGGACCTATCCTCTGACCACCTGCCACTAATAGTCACAATCCACGCGCAGCCACAGCCCTTGCCCATTAGGAAACAACTACTGCCAGCAGGATCAGATTTAGGAGTCTTTAGGCGCGAGCTCCATTACTCTTTGCACATAGAAATGGAACTTAACACTCCTGAAGACGTGGACTACGCAGCAAACAAACTGCAGGAAGAAATAGTCAAAGCTGCGCACCAAGCCGCCCCACCATCTTGCCAAACAAGACAACAGTCTCCGTACAACATCCCCCTCACCTTGGAGGCCCAACACCTACTAATACACAAAAGATGGGCCAGGAGACGCTGGTTAAGATTACGCACGCCTGATGCCAAATCCATGTACAACGAAGCCACGAGGCATCTTAAAGCTGCTCTCGCCCTGCTTCAAAAGAGGTGTATCAGCGATGCGCTGGTACGAGCTGAATCGCCCACTGACGCAGAGTTTCAATTATGGAAATTTACAAGAAAGCTCAAACGGCAGCCAATACGACGTCATCCCATTCGGAGCATTTCTGGTTCCTGGCACATTGGAGACGAAGCTCAAGCTGAGGCTTTTGCAAACCACCTTCAAGACCAATTCACGCCGGTGATTACCGCAGAGGCCTCAGAAATCGAAGCAACAGAAGACATCGTTCTCTCGCCCCTCCCAGCTGAAGACCAGATAACTGGATGTACAAAAGAAGAGGTTCTTGAACACATCAGAAGAGTGAAGGCAAAAAAATCCCCTGGATATGATCTAATAAACGGCAGAGTCCTTAGAGCACTGCCTGACTCCACCATAGACTACATAACTATGGTGTACAACGCCATGCTCCGCATCCGGCACTTTCCAGCCTGCTGGAAGCGCGCCGTGATTGTGATGATTCCTAAGCCTGGCAAACCCGTGGGAGAAATTGAGTCGTACAGACCAATTAGCCTGTTGCCAGTACTCTCCAAAATATTCGAAAGAATATTTCTGGAACGAGTACTGACACATCTGGGACGCCAGGAGGCCATTCCAAACCATCAGTTTGGCTTCAGGAGACAGCATGGAACACCGGAACAGGTTCACAGAGTTGTGCACCATATCCTTGGAGCCTTTGAAGAAAAGATGTACTGCTCTGCCGTCTTTTTAGACATCAAACAGGCGTTTGATCGAGTTTGGCACCTGGGACTGCTGCAGAAAGTGAGGACCACCCTTCCAGCCCCATTTTTCGCGTTGCTATCCTCATACCTTATTGGAAGAACCTTCCAAGTGTCAAGGGGGCAAACAGTATCCTTGACTAGACCAATTATGGCTGGAGTACCACAGGGTAGTGTTCTAGGCCCAACACTTTATACTTTATTCACAGGAGATATGCCAACTCCCGAGCCAAATATAGGAAGTACAGATGCAGTACTCATAGCGACCTATGCAGATGACACCGCCATCTTATCACGTCACGTATCTGCGCAAGAAGCTTCAGACTCACTACAAAAATATCTGGACTCTTTCGGACGCTGGGCAAAACGGTGGTGTATCACCATTAATGCACAAAAGTCTGTACATACTACCTTCGCCACTAGAAGAGGAGATTGCCCAAGCGTTGCATTGGGGCCCACTATTCCCAAAGCCTCAAAAGTAAAGTACCTTGGTATCACTCTTGACAGAAGGCTGACTTTTAAAGCGCACATAAGTCAAGTAACCTCAAAATGCAAAAGCAAGCTAAAAACCCTCGACTGGATGCTGAGAGCTTCAAGCAAGTTGTCTTACAGCAGCAAGGCCGCCATCTACAAGGCAATAGTTGTCCCAACCTTCGTATATGGTATCTCTCTATGGGGCTCCTCGGCGAAGACTACAAGGAACAAAATTCAGACCCTGCAGAATAAAGCACTACGCAGATGGACTGGAGCCAGCTGGTTTGTAAGAAACTCAGTCTTACATAGGGATTTAGCAATTCCCACAGTTGCTGAACTCATTGGGCGACACAGTTCAAGATACGCGGACAGACTTGCAGCGCATCCTAACCATCTCGCAAGCAACCTGGCTATAAACAACAATAGGCGAAGACTGAAGAGATTGCATCCTCTAGACAATATTAGAACTAATTAAGATAGTAGCTACAAGTGCAGAATAATTGGCATATCTGCCCTCCCATTAGTTAAGGTTTAGAGCTAAATGCGCTATAGAGTCTAAGACAATAAGCTGCAACAAAATAAAGAAATAAAAACGAAAAAAAAAAAAAAAAAAAAAAAAAAAAAAAAAAAGAAAGCTCAGTCTGTTAGTTAAGATTGTAAAGATTTGCAGGCTTTGCCAAAACTCATATGATGTTTAATACGAACTTCTGAGAATATAAGTATAATGTGAGCAAGTTCTGTTAACGCTTATCTAAAATTATAAGGCTCTCTTCTAATCTCAAGAAACAATTTGAAAGTTCAAGCTTGCATAAATCTTAGACTGTTAGACTGATTAGCAGCCATTGATCAGATAAAGCTAAAAGTCATAAACATATAAGACGCTCCTCTATGAGTAGCCAAAAATTCGATTAGAGAAACCCATGAGTGTGAAACAATAGTTTTATAGCCTTTGTCCAAATGTATAAGATTTCCTACAAATGCTTAAGACTCTCTTATAAAAAACGAATTTAAAAGTTACAAAAACTTTACATAATTTCAAAACTGTTAGCTTGAGCTGTTAAGCAGCAGTTACTGAAGCTCTTCTAACACTTTTATAAACATGCAAAGCTTTTCTTAACATAAAGCCAAGACTGTTAAACAACTCTTCGAAAAAGTCTTCGAAATATATAAGACTAGCTTAACTAGACTTAGCTTGGGCTGTTTAACAGCGATCTCTCAGTTTCTGCTAACACTCTTATAAAGACTCCTTTCGAAGAATTTATAAAGAGTAATTTGTTAACATAAAGCCTGTTTAACTGCTGTATAAAACGCTCTACATAGCTAAAAGACTCTCTTCTAAAAAGCCAATATGTAAAAAGGGTAAATGGTAAACGGGGCAAAGCAGCAAGTGGATTTGGGTGGCAATTGATTGTTGCAGCAGGTCAAGGGTGCTTCGGGAGAGTTTGGGTGGCTGGCTTGCAGGTGAGTTTTGCTTGCCAGCCAACTGAAATAACATGAGCAATTTTTAGAAAAGCGACGACAAAACGTCGAATGAAAGATAAATAAAGTGCAGAGCGAAAAAAATAAAATGTTAGAATGTAGAAAGAGAGAGAGAGAGAGAAAGCAAGAAAAAAGTGAAAAGTAGCGAATAACTCGCGAACAGAGCTATAAATCAACGTGAAAGCAGCCAGAGGCGCCCAGAGGGGCGTGGCAATGTATCTATTACATGAACGCTGTACGCGCTGTGAACTGTCGCAGCTGCAGTCGCAATTTTTTACTTTTATTTTTATCAACGTTTCGTTTCATTCCTTTTATATATATTTTTTTTATAAGTTTTCTCTTTCTAGTTTAGTTGGAGCAAAAATATTTTTGCAAGTGACAAAAATTGTTGCCGCTTAAATGCTACGCGCATCGATTTTGATTACATTTGGAAGCACGCCACGCCCATGGCCAGCCAGCTAGCCAGCTAGCCAGCCAGCGAGTCATCATTTACTTGTCCACCTGCGCCGGCTCCATGGTGTACATATCGCGAAGCAGTCGTGCTATCGGCACATTGCCGATAGTCTCCTTGAAGAAGAGCGCCTCAATGGTCGCCGCTCGTATCGTGCGTAGCGAGGGCAACAGCAACAGCAGCCGGCCAAAGCGCGTCGCCTGTCGCGGATAACGCAGTCGAACATGATCGGAGAGTATGCACTGCGCCTGATCTTGCAGCATCTCCACGGGCTGCACATCGCACAGGCCGGCGGTCTCGGGCGCAAAGAGCGCAATCGCCTTCATGCAGCCCACCTCGCTGCCATCGGGCGTTATTTGCCGAAACCGACAGAGTATCTCCTGTATGGTCTTCATTTCCATTTGCGTCGCCTCGTCCTGCAGCACGCGCTCCTTGATCAGCGGCGACTCCAGTATCGGTGTCAAATCTAAGGGTATGGTCCACTGAGCGAGATTGAGCAGAAAGAGCTCCTTCCAGGATTCCTAGTTAAGAGAGTTAAGAGATGAAATGTTGTTATTAAGTTTTCGAAATTAAAATTATAAATTGTATTATGATAGTCATATATGTATATATATATAATAACTTCTAGTTTAATTGGCTGTTAAATTGTTAATTTGTATTTGGATTTTAATCAATTATTGCTAGAGTTGAGAAATAAATGTAAAATTCTTAAGTAAAGCAAATGCTCTTTTTATTTAAATATGATTCGATTGACTCAAAAATGCTTTCAAGATCTATGTATGCTAGTAAGATAAAAGATATAAGATTAACAGAGATGCCAAGCTGGAGATCACTTTGGAAAAATTCTAAATGAAAAGAATGCTTAGCAAAATGAGGAAAATTCTTTACAATTTGCAGCTCGAAACTGAGCAGAATATTCTAATTTATATATTATATAATGTAATATATATATATATATATATATATATATATATATATATATATATATATATATATATATATATATATATATATATATATATATATATATATATATATATACATAAATTTTCATACATATATAATGCCTTGTTTAGTTGCATCTGATTCCTTGTCTAATTCTTATGTTTCAACAAACACCTAAAGTCTATCTCCAATACTTAGGAAATGCTGTTCATTGCGGTTCTCTGCTTATTCATGAATGGAAAAAATATATTGCTTTAGGAATATGCTATTGCCCGTCCAGTCTAGAAATATAGACTCGTGAATATTATCTCCAGCTTAAGCAGTTATGGTCAATATATCGACGTTCATTAAAGCTGTGATAAATGAATGAATCAGAAGTAATCAGCCGACTCTCTTTTGCTTTAATTCTTAAGTAATCACAGTAATTAAACTCGGTGTAACTTATCACATCATCGGGTGATTACATAGTGCGATTACTTTTGCCCCAGCCTGTATTTTATACAGCTCTGAAAAAAGAAGATAAAATTGTATCTTCTACAGCTCTAAGGCTAAAGTCAATAAAGATTTCCCTAGTGAGCTCAGATTCTTAGATTGACATATTGGCCTAAGAAATGTTGTTTTACGACTTTTGGGCGTGGTCAAGTAAAAATAAATGTGTTTCTCAGTTTCAAGCTAAGATGTCAAGCTTTGCAATTGTATCGCAGTTTACCTGCGTAAAGACTTATTGAGTCTAAGGTTTTGTCTGTTGGGGAGTGGCAAAGGGCAAAACATCGATATAGCTGTGAGCGAGTATCATGCAGTCGTTAGCATCTGGTTGTAAGGTTGTTACTTGTTTTATCATTCTATGGATTCTAGGCTCTTAAAGCTTGTTTATTGAAAGGCGCTCAGTAAATCTAAAAAGTAAAATGGCAAATGAAACTAAAGGCCTAATCTTAAGCTGCAAATAAGAAGATTCCCTTCAAGTAAATTCCACTTCCCTAGATGAAATGTTAACTTATTTTCAGCTAAGCTGGCTAAATGTTTCTGTAAGTTTTCTTATGCATAAACTGCATCGATATTCGGTGTAAGCTACCTGCAGCAGTAAGTGTTGATCGTTCTTGGACAAGGTCTGGAATGGCATCAGACACTTGACCCAGCGCACGGCCATGAACAGGAGACGAGCCGTCGTCTCCTGCATCATCTCCCAGGAGAGCAGGCGTGAGTCGAGCAGCTGCTGTGGCAGCGGCGGTGGAAAGAGCAGCGCATTGTGCTGCACCTGATACTGGATGAGCTCCTGGCATTTGTCCGGACTGAGCAGCAGTTCCAAGAAACCGTTCGAGCCGTGGCAGGCGCTGCTGGTGCGCGTTGTTGCCGGCGCCGCAGGCGGAGGTGTGGGCGTTGTGGGCGTGGGTGAGCCCGAAGTGTAGCTAAGCTGTTTATTGTTGCTCGTATTGTTGTTGTTGTTGTTATTGTTATTATTATTGTTGTTGTTGTTGACATGTATGCTGTGCATGAGTAGCGCATCATTTGCGGGCGGCGTTGTTGGATTGTTTGTCTGATGCGAGTTATCGCTGAGGCAGTGCGTGGAGCTCTGGGGCGGATGCGGCGATGCGCTGGATGCCGCCAAGCTTTGCGAGTCTGTCAACGTGGGCGCCGGCGAGACGCTGCCAGCGCTCAAGGGCGGCGATGCCGATGGCGACGGAGTCTCCGTTTCCACATTAACGCGCGGACTCTCGCTGCCCAGGCTAAGACTGCCAGCGCCGTTGGCACCGCCGCCGCTGCGCGAACCGATGCTCGAGATGGACTGTATGGAATTGCTGGGCGAGGGCGAAGAGTAGTTGTTGTGATTGCCAGCGATTGCCGCCGACGTGGCCTGGCCATAGGGTGTGGTGGAGACGACAGCAGCCACAGCCGTTGCCGTGGCTGCCGTAATGCCGGGCAGCTTGCTGGCCGCCTCGGCGATGAGATTGTGATGCAGTAAATGTGGCGGAAAGGTCATCGCAACGCTTGACCCACCGCCAGCAGCAGTGACAGCACCACCGAGTGCACCGCTGCTATTGCCATTCTGCAGAGCTCCATGTGGACCCAGCGAGTGGCCATGTGCCGGATGGTGAAAGGCCGTGGCATGGGATCCCGCCTGCTGCCCCGCATGTCCCGTCTGCGACTGGTGTGTCAGTGCCGGCGCACCTTGTGGCGCACCTGTGGGCAAATGGAAGCCACCCGGCGGTGCATGCGTCGAAATGTGCTGCGTATAGTTGAACGATGCGGAGACGTTGGTCACCAGCGACACTGGCAGGTGGGTGCCATGATGATGATGCAGTCCAGCAGCGGCGGCTGCGGCTGCCGCCGCATGGTGGGCCGCCGCCGCATGGGCGTGGTGATGATGATGATGGTGGTGGTGGGCGTGGGCGGCGGCTGCATGATGCGCCGCCGCTGCAGCCGCTGCATGATGATGATGATGATGCAGCTGGGGATGCAGCTTCGGCTTGCGTGGACCGCGCTCATGTTGAACAGCTGTAAATATAAAGCGGAAATGGGGATTCTGATTATGGACGATCAAGTAGCGATATGTTATAGTTAGCATAACTGGTCTGTTATGAATTGAAACTGTTTTCAGACTAATTTGCTTTTACTTTCATTTGACAAATTCAATTTGAATAATGTTTAGCTTCGGCTCAACATGAGCAACATTGAAGCAGTTGAATTGGAATGATATTTACGGTATATATTATATATGTTACTGCATGTATATATATATATATATATATATATATATATATACTACACCATATACTTTGTTAACGAATGTAATTTTAATTAAATCTGTGTCCTTTTATTTGCTATATATGTTTGAAGACACAACCTAAATCGTATATATCCCCACTATAAATTAGAACATTATAGCTTCTACTCAGAAGAAACTCATAGAAACTCTTCTATTTTACAAGGATTCAGAGTTTTAATAAACAGTAAAATTTCCATTTGCAGCTTAATACTTTAGTTTCTAAAGAAATATACACTACTTCTTATTGAGCCAAACCTTTTTTGCTATGAGCAAAAATTCTTTGAGATAGACTCAGCTACGAATTTATTTTTGGTATATCAAAAATATAGTTAGAGATCAAATTGAAGGCAACTTATTTTGGAAATTTTGTGGAATTTAATAATATAAAAAAAACAATAGTAAGATCAAAATATTTAGAGGGATACCGTACTAGATACAACCTTTAATTTAATTAAATTTATTTAATTAAAATTTATTTAATTAAAGTTTATCTACATAAATTTATTTAATTAAGAGCAAAAGCTACAATAAAGCTAGTATTAAATTCTTTCATAAAAATACATAACAAAAGTAAATGTTTTCAGAGTTCATAAGCCTAGTTTATTAGTAAAAACTTGTTGCAATTATTTGATTCCCGAAAACTCCATTGGATTAAAATAAATGACTTAGAATTTAGATACAATTCTTATTAATATATTTTAGCCTTATATAGCGAAAAAGAGCTTATAAATTGTGACCACGCAAGAGTGATACTCTTTTCGATATATATATCTCAGCAGCTAATAATATCGTCAAAGTTTCTAAATATTCAATATAAATTGCCATTTATTTATGAATTGATAAATACGTAAAGAATTTCAAATATTGATTATAGAATATATATTCTTACAGTGTTAATTCGGCCACCCTATAATATCTACAGCTAAACTCAATATGTGAAGTATGGACTTCACTATATATACTAGGAATATCTCTATATTCAGATATACTAGGATTATGACCCATTCCTTTACTTACTTTACTCAGCAGGTCGTATAATATGTTACATATAGATAGACAATTGAGAAATCTTTAATCTTAAAAAATCTTTAGAATATGGACAATGATAAAATAAAATGATATAATATAAACTTAAGCCATTCCCCAAGACGGTGATTATGATTAAGGTAATTACCTTTAAATTCCGTGAAGCAACAACAATTTAAGCTGGAAAAGTGCAAATGTGGCTAAGCTGATAGCATTTAAATGCACGAATTTCACTTATTTTCTCTTATATTTGAATGTATCTTAAATGTCTTGAACTCTCAATAGATTATTTTCGCTGATTTTGCTTTTTTTGCGGCATTTACATTTATCCCGTCTAAGGATCTGACTACGCTTTTATTTGTCCCTTGTGTGCGTTTGCTCAACTGTTTTGCATAAAATCAGTTGAAGTGTGTAATTGCGTTAATCTGCTTTTAAGTAGTTAAATAAATAAAGTTAATTTCAAAGATACTTTGAGTGGCTTTCTTCTGTTACTTTTTCTTTGTTGCCCGGCAAAAACTTTGTCAGCGCTTTGAAGTGTGGGTCGGACCTGGCTCTGCGTAGGCAAATAGCAAATAACACTTGGCTCTGTATAAGCAGCTAAACACATACACACAGGCATAATAAACCGATTATTAAAATGCGAGAGTGCAAGAGAGAGAGAGAGAGAGAGAGAGAGAGAGAGAGAGAGAGAGATAGATACCCATGAAAAGATACAAAATGTTAGTCCTTTAGTAGTGGCAGCCAGGTCGTGTGAACTGTTGCATATGCCCCAAGCCTGGACCCGGACCAACACACACACATGCTCCCATCTCTCTCTCTGTGTGTGTGGGTTGCTGTCATGACTTTTATTTGTTTGTAATTAAATGTATCTATAGCGTGCGCGTTTGTAGCCTTGTATCTTGTGCGTGACGCAGCGCAAAAGGGGTGACATTTTAATCCGCAGCTAATCGCATGTGTGAGCGACTGTGCGTGTGAGTGTCTGTGCTGAAGTGACTGCAGCCAGTTGACGGCGCCTTTGGCACTTGAAAACTACTAGCTACCGCGCTCCAGCTTTATGGTCTCGACAAAGCTTTCAAAAGATCACAAATTTCAATTAAAGAAAATGCCAAACTCATCAAATTTTTACGCTGCGGGTTAAGCGGCAGCTGGCAAAACTTGCGACAACATTTTTCTCAGCGCCCGACAGACTCTTAAAAACTGCGGTCTGCATCAAAAATAAAAAGTTCAGCGCAAAGACTTCCCCCCTTCGACTTGGGCAACTAAGCCCCCTCCAGACCCAAAGACTCTGGGCCAAATTGTTAACCCTTTGCACGCGACGCCTTCGTGCTTCCTCCACAATTTCTTGCTGCTCAAACAAAGAAACGTGTGAAAAAGGCAAAAAATTAAGGGCATAAGCAAAAATTAAAAATTTTTTTATTTTATTTCGCTGCGCTTTTTATGACGCCCCCAAACACCCCCAGCTCCTAGAGCCTTTTGCTGCTTTTTCTAACTTGAAGCGCCGCCATTTTGTTTTAGCGCTGTCAAAGTTGATGCAAAAGAAAAGAAGAAGCAGACGAAGAAGCAGAGCAAGATTTGTCGCTCTCTAACTGATTTGATTGCTGGCAAAGTTATGGATGCAAAATGCAAAAGTCGTGTCATGCCGCCTGCCTCGGCACACAGCATCAAATCAGCTGAAGGCGTTTTTCCTACTTTGCTTGCGGCTATGCGAGCATTCGAGCGATTGGTGTCAAAGATGCCGCCATAAAGGTCATTGGCTCAAATTTAGAGGAATTGTGAGACTGTTCAAGGTATGCTAAAGTGAGGCGAAACTTAGCTAATTATTAAAAACTATGTGTATATAATATATATATATTTTAATAAATTATGGTAAAAAATATTTTATATTATATTATTATTAATACATATCTGGGAGGACAGGACAAAAGTTGTTATCTCAAAATTTTGAGATAACCGAAAGTCTATAAACCCTATCATCATATCACATCTATCATCATATATCACCCCATCATCATATACATCACATGAGCTCTAATCGTCTGCCTTACTGATGACTTCTCGTGATTTCAGTCATCGAAGTCTTCTTGAAAAACCTTCGTCGCTAAAATCAAATTAAATTTTCTTCTCTTAACATTTAGTAACAACTTTGCTATTAACTCTAAAGTTTACTTTACCTCAATAAGATTCGTAAGTTTCATTAAATAATAAGCCCCATTCCTAAATACCTGACTAGCAGAAGTCCTGCACCACATCTTGCATTGTTTTTCTAAGTTTCTAAAAGCTTTTTTCATTTTTCAACAACTGATATATTCAGACGTCAGACTCTGCATATATGGTATCGAATACCAATTTAACTGTCTCCAAGTATTATAGTCCCTAAGCTATGTGCAATAAAACTCAGTTTCATGTGGAAGATATCGACAGATAAGAAAGAAATGAGGTAAAATTGCTAAAGAAGAATGATGAAATAAGTCTAACTTTTTGGGGTCTCTTAAAGTCGTCAAGCTATGCGCACCTAACTTAATTTCAAGAAGCAGCTATCAAATGATATAGACAAAGCAATAATTACAGCTGTGTTCATTCATAATATAAGAAAATAACAATAGTAAGCTCAATATATTTAGAGGGATGCCGTACTAGAAGCAACTTTAAAGTTTTCAGAAGCAATTGAAGAATTGCAAGGCAGAAGGAAGAAAGAAGATTAGGTGTATAGAAATTGAAATAAGTTTTATTCTAAAACCTAAAATTGTTCAAAGTATTTGAGCTGCCCTATTTCCATTCTTTGACAATTTAAACTGCCACTAAGACTTAGAAAAATAATAAACATATAGACAGAATTTGCTGTAAACATTTTATTTTTAATTTTTAATTGTTTAATAATAATATTAAAATGCTGAGAAATATCATAGAAAATTTAAAAAAAAATCCAAATTAAGTAAACATATTTCTTAATATTCTGAAAATAAAAACACAAAACTACCTAAAAGAGTTATATAAAAACATATATTAATTGTAAAAAAACGTAGAAAAAAATACTTAAATCAAAGTATTGTTACGTTTGACTTAACATATTTGCCAACTTTGCAACACCTGCCCAAACTCTCAGGACAACCTGAAGAGAAGCAAAAACAAAAAGGTATCTACAAATCTAATTAGCAACTCATTACGCATCCTCGAAGCGTAGAGCAATAAAAACGGCGAGTAAAAGAAACGGTGAAAACATATTGACCGATTTGCTGAAGCTAATCAATTAATTAGGGCAGCGGGCGGCAGGAGGCAGGAGGCAGGCGGGTGAGTGAGGGGCGGAAGTGCAAACGCATTCGAGCAAAAACAATTATGTCAAAACAGGGACGAGGCCAGAGCTAGGGCAAAGGCAAAAACGTCAGAATGCCAGACAGAGAAATGCGGTAGAAAAATTAATGATAAGTGGCAAAGAAAGGGACAGTGAGAGAGAGTGAGTGAGAGAGATAGAGGTGAAGTGTAACAGCTGCTAAATTCTCAGAGCTGAACGCTTGCCGACTTCACGACCGAGACACGCAAAAATCCCAATGAATGATCATCAACTGGCAGCCCACAATGAGGAGGGGTCCAAGAACCTGGACTGCTGCTGTCCGCTGCTCGTAAGCTGAAAAGCGCAAAGCCTCGTAATGAGTGTGTTACCGATATATATAAATATATATATATATATATGTTATATATATATATA